TGTTCACAAGGTCCCCCAAATTTAATCCATTTGAGGGCCAGCAAACAGGATCTTCCCAACCAGGAACTTCAGACAGGGCCATCCTCATTTTTTTTTGTCAATTATTAGGCCTAGCATAAAGGACAGCCAGCATAGAGATGAGCCAATAACCAAATTGTATTTGATACAAAAGGGTCAGTACATGCATGAGTGCTGAGGGTACAGACAAGTCAGTCAGATTATAATAATTGACATCAACCCCACTGACCCCAACAATCAGTGGAATAAATGGTGAAATGCAGTCTCCCATAGAAGGGACAGGAGACAACCAAGTCAACAAACCAAATACATAAGACCAAGGAAGCCACATACTGAATCTCTACACAACCCATGTTTACAAAGGCCAGACCTGACTGGAGCCCAGTCCCAGGGAGGCAGGAGGTCCTTCTCCAGCAGAAAACTCTGCAAAGTGCACCCACCTCACAGACAAACCCCACCCCTACCTGCAAGTGGTCCCAGCTTTTATCCCCAAGTGGGACACCTGACCTTTGTTTACTTAATGCAGACACCTGGGGCTCATTTACCCCATGGCTCTCCCTGCAAGGCCGGCTGCACCCTGGAGGGAAGCTTAAAGGGAAACTCACCCCCCCTTTGTGAAGGGCTGTGGGAATCACCCATATGTCAACCTTGATTTGGGGCTTGGGGTACCCAGCATTTCAAATACATATGTTAATATGCTCTTAGGTCCATATTCTCTCATCCTTCTCTTACTCTGTGCATTTAAAAAATAATCTAACAAAATCTGCTTGAGAGCTTCACAGAATTAATATTCCCACTAAAATCTTGCTTATAATTTAGCTACCATGTATTAAGAGAAAGATCAACCCTTCAAAATCAGTGTTTTCAAATGGGATTTTATTACATGGATTCAAATATTATTAAAGCAAACAGTAGTCTTCCCCTGGATATAATGCAATATTCATGTTTAAGATAATTCAAATACAAATGGCAGGACCTTAACACAGGAAATTTTTTCACTCACCACGAATTTTGCAGACTACATGGAAGAAAAAAAAAAAGATAAAAACTGAGAACTGTCAAGAAAGTTTTAAAATCATGAATTACAGATAATTATCTGGCATTCATACTGAAGTCCACTGCAATTTCTGTGTTCAGGTCCTGAGCCATTTCTGCCTCTGCCTTGCTATGTTAACATGCCCCATCTGCTACATGGTAAGAAACCACACAGCCCAGTTGTGCAAGGTCCTCCACATCAGTGCTGACCTGCCTCACCGCTTGTTCACAAGGAGAAAAACTGAACTATTAGCTCTCCTGATACTAAACCAAAATCATCCTATGCTTTGTAACACTGTCATATATAAAAAGCACAGCATAATACTAACTGTATCAAACAGCAAAGGCAATTATCAGAAAACTTGTTGATATTATTTGGTATACTATTTTAATTGTTATGGAACTCCACAGTATGATGTGTACTAATATTTAACCTGTAAATTCTCATACTGTTAACCAGTCCATCTAGGTGGACTAGGTATCCTGCATTCTATTTTTCTGTCTCTGAAAAAACAAAGGTACTCAGCAATCCAGTATTGCATATTTTTGCAGTGGTGCTGAATTTGTAGTGTGCTACCTACACATATTTCCCCTGTAAATGCACATACTGTTACCTACTTTGATGTATATTCTTCTCCTGATGCTTAATGATTGGGCCTGTGTCTCACCTTAAACTCAGACTTTTTTTTTTTTTTTTTTTTTTTTTTTTTTTTTTTTTTTTTTTTTTTTAAATCTGACATGAGGAACATGATCCTTGTATCTGGATAACAGTTGATGCTTCAATAACCCAGATCATTACTTCTACCTGATCATAGTTCTCTTGACTAGGCAGACTTTTCACCCTCATGCAATGGGGGATTATTATTAGAGGTGAGGAAAGAGAGGTTGTTCGCTTTCCACAGTTTTGTCAGTCACAAACCCCAGGTTTTGTGCAGGTAAAAAGCTTTTTCTGTTTGTCCTTCCTGCTGACAAGCTGAAAGGCTAGTCTTCCTATATTGTTTTTCTGCCCTTGTCAATATATTTTGCATACTTCCTCCAGCTGGTTCCTCTTTCACCCCACTTGTTAGCTGCAATTTATGCCAGTATGGCTTATCCTTATCCAAACCACATATTTCTGTGTATATCTATGACAGAAGCCAAAACATTTATTCGCTTTAAGTCCTATAGATGCAACCTCCATACTCTGACTTCCCATGCTTATACAACTTTAAGTCTTTTACATTACCTGTGATCCTATTATATTTGTAATTTATTGTGGGTATATCAGGTAACATACAACCCTGAACCGCGATATGAGAAAATTTTCTTAGCTTTTAGAGATAGGTAGCACCCAAAGCAGCATTCACAGCTGTGGGTTGCTCAAAAAGCTTTCTTGTTAGTCTTTGCATTAGCTTTGCAAGCTAATGTTTAGCATCTTGACCTGATAGTGCTTAAAGGACAATGATCTCAGTGGCTTAATTTAATTAAAACAAAAGCACTTATGTTTCAAGTAGTATGTTCAGACTTTGCCGTAATAATGTCATATTTAATCTAGCCTGTTTTACCTTAAAAAGCGGGTACTGAATAGCAGCATTTTCATTCTATAGCCATGAGATTTTTGCACCAAAACATGGAACATTTTGGCTCTCAGCAGAGCACGATTTTTTTTTTCTATATCAGTTTAGTAGTTGCAAATGGATCTTGTAGTAACACTCCTTGTTCTCTTTCATTCCAGAATTAGTACATTACATTCTGTTGCTGGCCCTAGCTGCCTTCTTATTTAAAACAAAACAAAACAACAAAAAAAAAACAACCCTGAAACCCCACTACTGGCCATTTGGTCCTTTGACATGTTTTGGTTTATTTTTCCTGGAGATTAACAATCTCCTTATTTGTTCTGGTGTTGGTGTTGATGATGTTGATGATAAACCCTTAAATTCCGAATTGCAGTTTCAGTTCCAAAAGTTGCAATTGGGAGTTCCAGATTTCTGCAGTAGCATCCAAAGATCAAACATAGAAATTGCTTATGCAGTACCGTTCCAGATGTGCCTGAGGGAGAAAGGTGACCACTGAGATTTGGCAGCTGTGACATCAGGACAGTTATAAACTCTTGAGGCTCCAGCTGTTGTTTATCATATCTTTTGGCATCTTACAATTTTATCAAGGTTTATCACTATAAAAGTCTTGTTCATTTTTACTTAAGGCATGCTGTGATTTGCTTCCTACAGAATTGTGATGTAGAACTTGAATTATGTATTTCAGGTACAAGTTTTTTGTTTAGCTTACTCTAGAAAAAAAACATACAGGAAGACCTGAATTTTTCCCCCAAATTTAAGCATGTATAAACATGCTTCATTTGGATTTGATGAACAGAACAGGGCAGACTCTTCCACTACTCAGTTTCGTTGGCAGGATCAGCAAAGCAAATAGGTTGTTCTGAAGTAAACATAAGTATCAGATGTTAAAAATAGAGGATAATAAGCCTGACTTTAAACAAGTATATAGCATGTAAACATGATCTAGATAGGAACAGTACATTTTTTTAATTCCATATTTAAGTCAACTGTTTTCTTACACAAAGAAGTTCAGGCTATTTGTAGCAACAAACTATGAGGGACGGAGAAAACACTCCTATTGTACTGACAGAAGGAGAAACATTAACAAAGTAACAGAGGCAGGTGGTGTTTTCAAATCATGGAAATCAAGTGATTCTCTTGGGTATCCACCCTAAACACCATGCCCCACCAGCCTCAAAGTCCCTGCTCTGAGGAACTATGGTCGTGTGACTAGGTAAACTGAAAACAGATACAGCAGTATACTGAACTGAACATGTTAGTTCAGTTAATCAGGATTTTCCATTTTGTATTATGTTGAAGAATTTTTCAGAGTGTTTTAATTGTCTTGTGCAAAACATACTCATTATACTGTATGGTAGAAGTTCATGGCCTGTAAACAGCAACTTGCTTCAGGGCCGCTGCAGCAAATCTTTACAAGCACCACACAGCATGCACATGATTTCTATTTGGATATTTAAGTGTTTTCATTTGGATGATGATGAGGAGATAGACAGACATGTGACACCAAGATTTCTGAAGATATGAGAGAAAGGATTCTTTCACATTTCATTTTCCTGCATTTCATTTTCGTCTCTTTAAAAGAAAAAGTAAAAACCAGGATTTGAAATAAAATTTCCAGTAGCTTCAACAGTACTGCTCATCTGTGGACTAGTTTAAGATACTGGAATTTAATCTAGTTGTCTGTCTTCCCTTTAGGAGCATAGTGGCACTGGAAAGCACTGATTGATAGGTCAGAACACTGAACGTTAGTTCTGCAGCAACACAAAGCTGCTACTGCATCAGTGCCAAAAGCTGTGTCTGATCAGATAGTTTGTCACTTAAGACAGCTGACAAAACAGAGCAGTTACAAATTAATTCCATCCTTATCCTAAGAAAAGCAGTTATTTTAAACATCTCAAACTTAGATTCAAACTGTTGAGGCGTTTTCCTCAAGTATTCAGTTCTAGTAGAAGTTCTTAGAATGAGTCCATCTCCAGACTGTCAGTTTACACCAGGATTATCAACATCACGCTTTTTATTTATTGAGCACAGTGACAAGAATTGTCCATTGTTTTCTCACAGAATTCCTTTAGAAATGACTCTAGACTGCTTGTCCCTTCTTTAAGGTATAATGAATAATGGAGATGCATAAAGAATTCCTTGCAAAGGGGCTGTCAGTCAAAATGAAGGTTTAGCTGTGCCTTGTACATACAGATGATGTCTAGGCAGACAAAATGTGAAGAGCTTTATTATTAGCATATAAAATGAGTGATGTTACCCACGTGTCCAAGTTACCCAACAGGAACTAGACTAAGTCTTCCTCAGATCTTTTCAGAATTACAACTGCATGCACTTGTTTTATTCTTGCTCACGCCAAGTCTTTTTAATGAGAGTTATAATTTCTTTTTATAGATACTTGATCCGACCTGATCCATTGGCTTATGTTCCAAATACTGCACCCAGCCGAAAAGACAGCTTCTGCCATACAGTGGGACAAGACACCAGGGAGGAAACACAACTTTGATACGTAACTCATCACAAAATTAAGAGACAATTTTATACACATGTAGTTTCCACTAACCATTTTGCAAACTGAGTGGTACATTTAATTCAGGTTTTGGAAACAAAATGACAGTGGGTAAGTGACCAAATTTAGAAATGTGGTGTCTAGAAACTGATTTAAGGGATCGTCAGGCTTGTGGCCTGTTCAATACGGTAGTTGAATGTTGTCAGTTTGACAGAATTTTGACACTTATTACTATTTAATTGATATGAACAAATGATTTTAAAAGTGACAGATTCCATCATGTGTTTTGCTTAGATGCTTCTAAGCCTATTTATCAAGGTGACAGCATGTCAATGACTAAGCTTCTGACCTACATCAGTAAAGATTATCTGATGCCCATAGAGACCATGCATAATTTGTAGTAGAAAATATGTTAATACCTAAAGCTGCCAATGAAGCTGTGTGTCAAGAATCCAGCTTTTGAAATAATTTTCAATATCTCAGCCTGTCACCCATTTATATTAGAACAGGCTAGCTTCAGTCTATTTTAGCCTCCAGGACCTGAGTGTTAGTTCTCTGGGTTTACAGAGATGGGGTTGAATGACACAGCCTAGTCACACCACAGAGATTGAGATCTGAGGCATATCCACTGAAAGATTTGCTCAGAGGAGCTCACCTGGAGGAAAGTCCCTATCATCTCACACAAGCAACACCCCTCATTTGCAAAAACTGGGAAGACACTGTCTGTGTGAAGCTACAAACAATGGTAGCTCAGGTGAAACCTTTTAACCTTAGTTTGTCAACAGAAGCCTGAACAGATTGTGATACAAGTGTGATACATCCCTCTAGGGAGCAATTCATACCACAGGTCTTTCCCATTTCCATGAATATGCCAGAACTGCAACTGTCCAAAGTAAGTACATGCCCAGTCATTCAGATTATCCAAATTTCATATGAAAATGAAAATTTTTATATTGAAAATGAAAATTTTCATATTGAAAATTTAATTTTGAAAATTAAAGAAATTTATAACCCATTCCATAAAACAAATATAATGCCACGTTATGTGAAAAGACAGCATGGATTTGAAGACTCCATTTTGTCATTAAGTACACAAGAAAGCATCTGCTAGTGTATGAAACATCTGAAGCTGCTACAGAATCTCCAGTCTACACATACAAGAATGCCACAATTGGTCAAGCTTTCTACAGAATTAAGCATGCCTGTACGTGATCTTCCAGAATCATATTCTTGCCTTGCCATCTGTCACAAAGTGGGAAGTTATGCTTAAGGTAAAAACCCTAGTATTACAATTATCCATATAGAACTGGTACAAGATATCTGGCAGGTAGCCAAATGGAAAAATCAATGGAAAAATTGATTATTCTTTGAATTCCCTTTATGTCCTGCCTGTACAAAAAATTCAGTCAAAATTGTTTATGTTCTTTTCTATCTTATTTGGTAGAATAACTATAATTTATTTCTGAAAAATAAAATTCCAGGTTGGCCAGTGAACAACTCATGGATATGAGTACACTTATCAGCGTTGTAAGGATGCTGAAATCCTCACATTTTTATTGGGAATGACAGCAAATCAGCTATTATTCCCTCCCTTCTTCTTAGTTATTTCAAAACTTAACTAATCTGTTCAATATTGTCAGAAATCCTACAACCAGTTATTAAAAAACTCACAGAGATCTCAGAGTTGACCGAAGCTATCAGAAGACCAAGAGCACTAGTTTTAAAAGGAAAAAGGATAGCTGGAGAGTAGGGTTTCTCAGCAATCTTTTGAATATAGACAAAGTAGCATCGTGGTTCAGGGGGATTTCAGTGGTTCTGCAGAGTGGTTTTCCCCACACTAGCCATTTATTGAATTATTCACACGTAAAGACAAAGTATATCAAGTGTTTCCTCTGGGCACTGTGGAAGAAAAGAAACAGTTGAAACAGCTGTGCATACTGAAGAGTTTGCATGTGCAGTCTGAATAACTTCCTATTTTTAATGCCTTCAGTAAGAAGACTATATTTCTTTTGAATATTTAAAAAGTAATACAAGTTTCTTAAAAATGTTCACTCCACAATATTAGGAGGATCTTTTGTTTCATACTGAAGGCCTTTTTAACAGTCATATGTAGGCAGATAGGATTCCAGAAACATGCCTACCCTTCAGCTGGCAAGCTAGATACTCTGCTTTCAGTGCGATTCACATACTGTTCACAGGCATTCCCCGCACACTGCCTATAGCACCTACCACAGATTTAAGGTGCCTCTGCCACAAGGATCTATAGGTAGGACTTGATGTCTCTCATTTAAGAGCCTATAAAGCAGTAGAAACAAGCAGTCAGGTGTATCCATTTTCCCACCCAGCTCAGCAGAATTGCTGCTCAGCTAGAGTTGAATAGTAGCATCTAATGTGACCTGACATTTCTTCAGGCTTAATTAATTTCTAATTGCTCATTAGGCCCAGAAGATTTCCTAAAGCCAACACAAAGACAGCTGGAGACACTTGCAGTCTCTAAAATGAACGAGAGGCAATCTTTCTGAACAAAATATTTGGTTCTCTTCAAAATCTGCTGGAAGACAAGCAAGGTAATAAAAACTAACAGCTTCTTATGAAGCAGAAGTTCTAATAACCCATGAATAACATACCACAAAGTTCTGTTACTCAAAATATACTGCCTTTCATGTTGAAAGCAGAACATCTTTGCTTCCTCTGGAATTTCTTCACAGACAGATCCCATTCGAATGGGATTTAGACCTTTTAAGAACCGTCTTAAAGCACCTCTACATTAACACTTAATGAGAGAATACACATTCTTTCAGGGTCAGGGAGGCAGTTCTTTAATGGTCATCCCACAGGCAATCTTAACTTCATGTGCTTTCTTCTTGTCAGTCCAGTTGGACTTGGAATCTCTGTGCTTGCTGCTGGAGAAGGGATGATGAAGTTCTAAAATCAGAGGGTCCAAATGACTCTTGAACAGAGGAGTTCTGTCTGGTCATAGTTCACTCAGTAGAGAAATTTAGAGCTATGATCTCCAACATAAGCAAGAGATTTAATTCTAAATTAGTTGTCAAAGGTCATGTAACCTGTGTTTATTTCTCATAATCAAAAAAAAAAATAAAACCAACCAACCCAAAACGCACAAAATGACAATTTCAGTCTATGCTTAACCATATGTATTTTTTCCTCTGGCTCACTTCTACCAGTAACTCAAAGATGCCCATCTTCCCCAACACTATCTTAACATATACCAAGCAATTTGTTACCCAAAGTCACTATCCCGGTGAAGAAAGTGATAACAGATAATAATCACTTCATTCTTACAAGGGTATTTTCCAGCATAATGAGACCTACCTATGAAAACATGTTAACTAGTCTGTAATAGTCACAAAAAGTGTTTCAGTGAAATGTAGTGTATTTCCTTAACTATTTCAGTCTAATTCCAGAACACACATTAATTCACATACCAAGTAAAAAGTATACAGTTGGAGTTTTTAAAACCTGCAGTAGAATGAAGTAGTGAAGTTTTCATGACATTTTGACTTAGAAATGAAAAGAACAGTTGATTTCCCAGCATACATATTTCCCCTCCCACAAACAACTTCCTACTACAAGTACTCTTCAACAACTTTAAAGTATACAGAGATACATATATATATATTACTGAATATTTCATATACATCTTTGTTTACCAATGCACCAATAAAACACTAGGTGCACCAGAAGCAATGCTCAATTCTGTAGTTTCTAGGCAGCTAGGGCTGACAGCAACCATTCTGTAATTTTGGAGCACTGATGCAAGAGATTTTGCTGCATTGAATTTCACTTGATATCTGAGGGAAATATGTCCCTACAATCTGAAGATGAATTAATAAAAACAAGCGGCACTGTGTAGCGACATCAAGATTACAAAAAAAAACCCAACCCACCTTTTTCAAAGCAGTGATCTAAATGCAGAATTTATAAAATAAAGCAATCTGCTTAAAATATTGTTGCATATTCTTGGTATTATATTAGAAATAACCCACCCCACTTTGAAATAGACATACATTGAATAAATGTCTGAAGAGCTGCACTTCAAATTTTCAGCCACTATTCCTCATGCTAGTTGCAGAATATGCATTGCAGGAAGACAGGAAAAGAGATATTAATTCATATTATGAGACATGACCAAGACTTTTCTTATGGTCATCTTGTGAAGTTAATCCAAAATATCAATGATGATTTTATCATATACCTCATTATTGCCTACACTACTAATGCAAGAATGCCGTCATTAATGGTAATTCAACACAAGCATAAACTCCCACAGCCTCTCAAGAAGCTTAAAAAGGAAAATATTTCCACTTCATAAAGTTAAAAACAAGCATTTGAAGTTTCTATGAACTAAAATTTTCTCTGTGTTCTACAAAATCTAGACTGTATACTGCTACAAAAATTGGCCCATGCCAACCGAGGAGAGGCCGGGATGCAAAGTATAGAATTAAAACAGAAAATGCTTATTCATGTGCATGAAGTGTCTCAGCCAAACGAGGGGACCCCAAATGTGGTTCTACATAGTGCTCTTACACTTTTAAAGCATTCACGTACAACATGATTTGAGTAATCACTAATACCCACACGACCTATTACTAACTACAGTAAAACTTCTCCAGATCATTTAATATTTCTTCTCTAGTCCTTTCACTGGAATGGCTGGTTGATGAACGCTAGCTAATTTCTTTGGCAATTGTTATAGCTTTTAACAGCTCAGTATTTACTGTTGCTAGAAGTTATAAACCCTCGCTACTTCCAGGACTGTCCAGTGATGCAGCAGACTCCAAATGCAGAGAACTGCTATATTTATAATCTTTTCTTTGGACAGATAGCAAGTCTTTCATAGTGCAATCAATTCTGCTGCTTGCACGCTCTGCTTCAGACTGAGTGGTGAAGCCTCCACTATCTTATCTTCAGTAGTTACTGAATAACCTGTAACTTGCTTATCATTCAGATAATATGATGATCTGTCTAAATATAGTTCAAGATCAGGATCTGGAAATGGCACATCCATTAGAATATTCTCGAGGGTTGGGTTTGGGTTTTTTTCAGCTTCATGGATTATTACTGCACAGTCATGATGTGGTGTTCCTTCCCCATATAAAGGGAGTAGAGTTGCAGAGTGCAGCTTATGACATTACTTAACATAGGTACAGGTATCAGCTATTCAAGGTTCCATGGCTACTAACCAACATCAACATATTGTATCAAAACTGTTATAATCAGACAAAGCCAATTTTTATAAAAATATATATTTATTTGGGTTCAATTGATCTAGGGTGGGAAGCAATAGGCAAAGCAGCGCTGGGTGCATGGAGAGCCGCAATTCTGCCACACGCACCCCGAGTTCCAAAAAGCAGCGGTTTTATACTCTTGTGCCATCGTCTTTAACCAATCTCCTCCCATCAGACAGTTGTCCTGCTCTTTTCCATTGGGTCATTTGGGTTGCTGGGGTGCATGTCCCCCCCCATCAGGTCTTTTGAAAGTCTCGAAGCCTTGGTCTCTTGGCACGCTTTTCTCCTATTGGATCTTTTAAAAGCTTCATGATCTCATCCTTTTGGTGGGCTTTTCTTCAAACAGCAGTTACATGTCAGCTCTGGGTGGGGTTTCTGAGACACGGTTACATTTTCCAATCTGAATGGCCCACTTTACATTTAATTGTTTAACGTTTACAGATCATTCAAGTGTACCTACCCGCCTTGCCCAACCTAGCAAATTAGTTACAATAGTTTATTACAACACCCACCTTGCTTAACTTAGCAAATTAGTTACAATAGTTTATTACAAAAACCATCCATTTTTTAAACAGAACATCCCATAAAACTTTTACTAAAATTTTAGAAAAATAGTGGAGGACCCAGCAAAGCCCTGAAGGAGCTTTGTCCGTGTTAGCTGTATCTTTCCCCAGGTAAAAGCAAAAAGGTCTTGAGAGTCCAGATGATTTAATGTCTGTATATATTAGACATTAGTAATTGTATTTATTAATCAGAAGGTTTAAGACCAAATTCTCCTAGGAAGGGGAAAATATTTCATATTCAGAGGCTCCTATAGTGACTGCATGATCAGTCCTCACTGTCAGTCCTGGGTGAAATGTAACGGCCATTGTTGCACAGAGCAGGGAAAGATTGCACCATAGGATTCAAAGGTCCTTTTCGGAGGCTTTTTTTTATGTCATACTAAACACTGCCATTTCCAGTGGCCTTGTAATTACAGCAGTCTCCAGTTCCTTGAGACCCTTTGCTTCAAAAATTTTCTCTTCTTCCCACTTTGGATACCTCTGTGCCCTTGTTACCTTAATCTAGGATTATTATTCAATGCTGCTGACAACAGACTAGCTTTCCTTGTCTATTCTTTTCCTCTTGTCCAAAACCAGCTGTATTTCTGCAGCATTCTCACTGCTTTTCTATTGATCCAGATGTCCCTGGAGTCATACTTGCTATAGATACTTATCTATGATGTCAAACAATGCTGGGAGGGTTTCAAAGATGTATTAAAGGGGTGAGGATGCTAGCGTTATCTTGGTTGTTCAAGGGTGTATTTTATCCTTCATGGACAGCTTCAAGTTTCTGAGAAGCAAAGTCCTTATTTCCAGGGCAAGGATGTCCTTTAGTTTGTTAAACTTAAGTGTGAATGATACCAAAGTTTCCAGTAAAATTCCACTACCTCACTACATTGCAGTGTAGAATGTGAACTGTCTTTTTATGACATTACTTTTTAGCACTGCAAAAAAGGAGAAGTTTTTCTAGATTTATGTCTTCTCAGATAAAGGAATAATGGCCAAGATCCTTGTTCTTGCTTCCATCCTCCCCACCCTGCCAAGCTGCCTTACATTTCTCCA